TATTATGTTATAGTCACCTCCAAAAGGCATGCTTATCTATTTGGTGGAACCCTGGGAAAATTCAGGTGATTTATTTATTTTTACCCTTATCTGAGAAAGATAGTCACAGAGATGGAAGCTTTATTTTCTCTCATGAAGTATTCTGCTGAGTTCTGCACAAAACCTGCCCTGGAGAATGTAGTCATTCTCAAAATGCACTTGGATAATGTATTTTGTTTTCAATATGTTGTAGGCGGCAGGACTGGCACCCTGTCTGACCGGTGGGTCAGACCAAACCTGGGTTTAGCAACCTCTTGGTACTTGGATTCTGGCTAGGAAAGAATTCAGAGCAAGATCCAAGCTGTAAGAGAACATTTATTGGGTAAATTACAGAGGTAGGAAAAGTAATTCCTAGAAGAAATTGGCTTAGGAAACAAGTTACAGAGGTAAAGGAAGGGCCCTTGGAGCTTGGGAGTGGGGAAGCTAATGGTCACATACCTTGGGGGGAGGAGAAGCAGGGAGGGAAAAGCATGGGTGTGCTCCCTTGACCTCCAGCCTATGGGCTTTAAGGACAGATTTTAGGGAAGGTCCCAGGGGAAGATCTCTATAGAATATTCAGCAGTTTCCCAGGTGTGTCCTGTCTGGGTTGTGCTCTCCACTGATTGATTGGCTGGCCCCAGGGCAGGGGTCATTAATGCCCCTGGTCCTGAGGCTGGTTTTGTTGCTTATCTGGGCCTGGAACATAGATGTTATCTCTAGAGGAAAAGTCTGGAGGTCCAAACCTCCCTCGCCAGTATATGCTAGGGGAGGAAAAGTCACCCTGGGGATGAGGTCCCACCCTACAATTGTCCTTTCCTAGGCACCTGGGGATTTCCACCCTGGTGACCTTCTGTACCTGGCCCTTCTGGCTTGCTCTGCTCATGTCTGTCCAACTTCCTACAACATATTTACCTTGCAAACTATAAAGAACTTCCTTTTTCTTTTTTTTTAAATACATCGATTGGTTGCCTCCCGCACACACCTTGACCAGGGCACTAGGGCCAGGGGTATAGAGCCTGCAACCAAGGTACATGCCCTTAACCGGAATTGAACCTGGGACCCTTACAGTCTGAGGGCCTATGCTCTATCCATTGAGACAAACCGGCTAGAGCGATCTTTCTTTCTTCCTTTCTTCCTTTCTTCCTTTCTTCCTTTCTTCCTTTCTTCCTTTCTTCCTTTCTTCCTTTCTTCCTTTCTTCCTTTCTTCCTTTCTTCCTTTCTTCCTTTCTTCCTTTCTTCCTTTCTTCCTTTCTTCCTTTCTTCCTTTCTTTCTCCTTCTCTCTCTCTCTCTCTCTCTCTCTCTTTCTTTCTTTCTTCTTTCCTTTAAAGGGGAGAATGATGATTTTTATTTTTTAAAAAATATATTTTATTGATTTTTTACAGAGAGAAAGGGGGAGGGATAGAGAGTTAGAAACATCGATGAGAGAGAAACATTGATCAGCTGCCTCCTGCACACTCCCTACTGGGGATGTGCCTGCGATTTTGCATTTTTTCTAATGGGGTCCACCCCCCAGCCAATCTGTTGTTCTCCAGGCTATACTAACAGACAAGCACCTTCCCTAAGTCACCCTGATTTCTACTGCACATGTGCCTATCTCTCCCTTCTCCTCTCAACAAGTAGCAGAGGGGGGAAGGAAGGAGTGTTAATCTCCTTGGAGGAGCAGTGCTGTGTGGACCTTAGCTCCCTGATGAAGCTTCCCAGGTGACCATGCTTACAATGTCTGGCCTCCCCTTTGCTCTCTTCCTATTGTTAATATTAACTAGTGAATTACAATGATAACATTATGATAAAGGAAAAAGTGTCACATAAGGCTCTATGAGTATACTTCTCCTAAGATGTTCTTGTCCCAAACTGTAACATAGGCTCAGGGAATGCTTTCATTACTGGATCTCATGCCATTGATGTAGTCACAGGTAACATGATTTGACAAAAAAGGCCATCTGTGTTTAAAATACCTTTTAAATTCATAAGGGTAGCTTCTAGTTCAAGATGTCAAGGTGAACAGACTCACTTACTCCTCTCACAGGACTAATTTAAAATGCTAGTAGAAGAATAAGAAAAGATCTAGCCCACAAAAATGGAGAGCATTATAGATGGTCATGAGCAGATGAGAAGAGGAAAAGCAGATGCTTTAGGAGGTTTATAAGAGAAGAGGAGGAGGAGGAAACAGCACTCTAGAATATGAGAGAAGGGAACTATAAGAATAGAAGTCACCAAGTTGCTCTGGAGAAACTTTGGATTCAGAACTGGAGCATCAGTCCAATAGCCAACAAGTAGGAGTTCTAAAGACAAAACACTCATGATAGAGGAAAGGAGATTGTTAAATAACATCTCCAGAGCTAAAGGCAAATCATCATTCACAGGATCCATAAGATAAATGAAAAAAGTAGGATAAATAAAAAAGGCCCATACTTAGTATTGTTATGAAACCTCAGAACACTAAAGATTTAAAGTGAGAATTTATATCCATACACATTTACTTGAGGTTATACTCCAATTAAAAGAGGATGAAAGCCAAGAAATAGAGGTGGGAATCCTATATAATAAAACCCTAAAACGCAAATTGACTGAACAGCGGAACGACCGCTTGCTATGATGCGCACTGACCACCAGGGGGCAGATGCTCAACGCAGGTGCTGTCCCTGGTCGGGGCCAGCAAGCAGGCGGTGCCAGGCTGCCAGCCAAAGTGGGTGCCAGCGGGGGCCCCCCATTACCCACCCGCCAGTTGCCCCACAGAGGGAGGGTGGCAGCGGGGGGTGGGGCTGGCAAGCGGGCGACTCCAGGCCGCCAGTCAAGGTGGGTGCCCCGCCCACTGGTTGCCCTGCAGATTGGCCCTGATCACCGTCCAGGCCTAGGGACCCTACCCTATGTATTGGGAACAGTCTCTTAGATTTAAAAATTAAAACCTGGCAAGGCTACTCTAACCCTGAAAAAACAGGATGATGCAGCAATGACCTGCTTGGACTCTGGCTTGCACATTTTGTGGTCCGCCCT